ACACATCGCAAGACAACTTGCCTGTTAGTTTTAAAGTGCTACCAAAGGCGCTTTTGGCCCGATGGTGCGTGGAGGGTAAAACAGGTTTCCCAATTGCTTCCCAAACTGAACGTGATATTAATGTAATATCCGAAGCTATGTCAAGCTGCAAACGGATCGGGAATTTGTTGATGGAAGCTGTCATGTATTTCCTGCGGGATTCAAATTCAACTTGAAACGTAGCAAACAGAGAATTGGATTGTATTCGTTGCTTGTACGTCCGCCTTTTGATTGAGTCTTTCATCGGACTGTTATCGTCCTTTGGGTTCAATGGTGATTGGGCATTGTGGGTACGGCAAAAGCCTTCTTTATGGCCCCAACGATGGCATACTTGGCACTGATGTTTCTTGAATGGACAGAAACGTGCATAATGCCATTCACCACATGACCAACATGATGTTGGAGGCTTTTTCCCAGGAGTGACAGTGGTTCGCTTCAATGTCATGACGCTGCTGGAAATAGGCGATCGCGACTTTTGCTGTACCATTGCGGTATCATGTTTGAGATTGCGCAAGCGCTGACATTCTGTGGTGAGGTCTTTCACAGTAATGTCTTTTTCGTGCTCAAGTTTGGATAGCACTCGCGTGCGAATATCTGATTCCTGAGAAGATTGAAGTCCAGCGACAAAAATGAGGCATTTGAACTGATCTTCTGTGGGCGATTGCAATTGGAATTTCTCACATTCTCGATTAACGATACCGGCGAAAGTAACATAATCGTCGGCCTCACGCTTGGCCAACTTGAGACAGTTGTATCGGACACCAAAAATTGGTCACCAAAAATTTCGCGAAGTTGGTCCACCGTCTGCGCAAAAGTCAAATCTTTTGGGTGGAAGGATAAAGTTGGTGAACCGGTCGTGTTCGAGGGTTCCAAGTTTCCGTACCAAGAGACGGGATTTCCACTCATCATCTTTGCCGGTGAACTCATTCAAGAATGTATCCTCCCAACGGCTGTACCACGAATCAAAGGTGAGACCAGATGCTGGCTCATAGTGAAATTCAGTTATAGTTGCAGCAATGGAATCCGCAAAGGATAGTGAACTACCACTTTGAGATGAAACTGAAGTTTGGAGATTGATGACTTGAGTGAGAGACTGGATAAGTCGCAATTGTGATTGTTCAAATTGCGCTTGTTGTTGTTGAAGGATTTATTTCAAATCCTCAGCTGAAATTGACATTCTTGGGTTCGTGAAGGGTCCCCGTCGCCAGTGTTATGTTCTCTACTAATCAGTCAATCAACCTTGTCAGTTACACACGAAATTGAGAATACAAAAAGCCTTGAGGAAATTATACTGCGGCAACTGAACAGCCAATGTCGAGATTCGAAGAATCAGGAATGGAATGGAACAAACAGTCCAATGAAAGGCTGAAATATATAGAGAGAGATGTGAGCAATATGTTCGTAGGAGGAGTGCCTCCTAACATTTTCAAAGAGGAAACTCGCGGTGAACCGAAATAACCAGAGGGTGTCATTTTGACTCTTGATGTAAAGAGGCCCCCGCTCTCAGTGGCCCTCTGTTGCATCGCGGCAACAGGCAAAAGCCTGAACCATGGGCGTCAGACAGGATTTCAACCGTAAAGACTGTGTTGACTGCCCCCTCACACTCTGCAAGGTGATATGCACATATAAAAAATCGTTCAGCTGTAGCATCCTTTCGGTGCCTGGCTGCCATGCATATATGGCGCATAATCATGGGGTCTCTTGAGTTCAAGGATTTGCTGAGCTCTGTCGACTCGTCAGTGCTCCTAACTGCACTTGATCGACAAGAGGTCACAACCGTTTGTGGACGTAACCCGGTCCGTATACTTCTGGGCGCGTGGGCGTATGGTGAGCTCTCTAGGAGCTTCCCTGGAAGTGGTATCTGGCAAGGATGCGCACTCTCTCAGTTCTTGTTCAACATCGTCAGGAATAAGACAATGGGGCAAGCACGAATTTTTCCCAACCCCCGGTATTCAAATCGTTGTTGGTGGGAACCTTGTCGATCTGGAGTACTCAGGCGATCTCGTGCACATGTTTAAAGATGAAAGCCAGGCGATAGCTCTTGGATTAACTGACCACCGTCACACCATCTTTCTGTATTCGTTTTGCATCTTCAAAGTGCAGAGTGATGCTTCAGAACGTGCAGTCTTTGAAAACACCCCTCGCAATTCAAACTGAAGCACTGGAAATGCTGGAGAATTTTACATACCTCGTTTCATGAATATCCTTTGCATTTCCTCTATGGCTCCGTAGTAAATATGCTTCTCCTTCACTTTCAGCTTAGGTGCGTCTACTTCTTAGACAAGTAGAGCGCTATTCATTCTATGCATTTCTGTCTTGTTCTCGTGCTCAATCAACAATTTCCACTATTATTTCCTATCCTTCTCTTTTGCTTGCCTTCCTTATTGAGATGTTATTTATTCATGTGTAAATGACAGCGAAAAATTAGTTCTTGTACTCTGTTCTTGCTTCTAATGTTGGCAGTGAATGATGTAGGTGCAAGCGAACTCGGAAGCGGTTTGTGGAATTCTTGTGTTACAGGTTAACCTGGATTCTCCAAGAATGGTTTGAGCACGCTGTAGCTGACGTTTTGAATCAGTCATGATCCATCTACACAATTTTGGTTGTGTTCACTTCCTTTTCTCGCTTCTGTTAAATTTTTTCAGTGGACGGTTTCGGTCTTATGGACGCCGATCCGTCTGTGGTGCTGGAGTGGTTGGATGCAAAGAATGGGGATCTACGAGACCTGCAGTTGACTGCTTTGGAACAACTCTGCAACGAGGTTCTATTTTCCGATAATGTGGATGTGTTTTGCGAACGTTATCCTCCACGGTGTGTTCTTCCTGTGTTATGCCGTATCTTTCTGGACGACCAAGCACCTCCCATGGTTCTGGAGGCAAACGCACGTGCAGTTTCTTACTATTTGGACATGGAGTTAGAATGGTGCAACTACATTACTCACTATAATGATGTGATGAGTGCACTGGCCTCGCATTTAGAATGTGTGGATATGAATTCTACAAAAAGCAACGAGTTTGGACAACAGTTGATCAAGGTGAGTTTCATTACACCACTCTGAGAGTGAAAAAATTGTTGTGTGACGAGATGGTTCAGTGGTTAGAGCGTGAATTCACTGACCGGAGGTTCAAACCTAACCTCTGCGTATGGACTTCTGTGTAGGTTTGGGTAACCTGTTAGTATCCCAGCTCTTATGTTTCCTCGGTCGGCATGCAGCTGAACGATTATTTATCATTATAATACTGCGTCGCTGTTCTGTTCGCCAAGCGAACAGGTCAGTATATGCACCTCAGGTAACTATCTCCAACAATGTCGCGTTTTCGTTTTGATTTGCTGGTTGCTTTCAGTCTTGACTGTACCACTGTATGTGGGCCGAGTTAAGCCGAGTGATGACCGAGACCTAATCATCTTTCGATATCTACCTTAAAGAAAATTTGCGGTGAGGACGGGTGCTCCTTTTAGATAATATATAACGCTTGGAAAAAATTCTTTAGAGCATGGGTATCCCCTTAAAGGAAATACATAGGTTTATTTGAAGTGTTTTCTGCAGGGGTTGTGTACTATTTATTTATATTAGGCGCCGCAAGATTATAATCTCAAGAATCGGGAGCCCTACACTTCGGACAAGTCGCGACACGCACGAGGCAACAATACCGCTTTCCGTATCCTTCAATGTCACTTTCGCGATTCACTCAAAACACTAGAAGCACTGGACCACGGCATTCTCATTACTCCTCAATATTATCATTCAGGGGCGTTGGCTCTGATTTATGGTTCGAGGAACTACTTGTTGGCGATTTGGACTAAACCGAAGTCAAATACAAACAAGGTCATGAAAATCTTTGATTAAGGCGATACACAACTTAGCATCGGGAGATATTCATAAAGATCTTTCAATCCTTTTATTCGAGATACGATTGCTTCACTGGTTACCGAAAGATCATCGCTTACTAGATTGTATATCGCTGTTCGGCATTCTTTCCAATGTGCTACCGACAGCACGTTTGTTGTTCAGGTTGTGTAGATCACCGTTGTTAAGATCACAGAACTGAACACTTTGATTGCAAGCGTTTTGCCCCCAAGCGAGATGACAACAGCAATGCGCAGAAAGCTAGCGGCACATCTTCGATATATTGGCGTGGTGTAGGTGTTGAACAGTGCTCTGTTCATGTTCACTTGTGTCTTGTTGACTCTAGGGGTGGCCGCTGATTATGATTAATCGCTTGCATGGTCGGCCTTTGGATGAACTTTGAGTTTGGTCTCTCCAAATAGCCCGAGGCAGCCTCTGAATTGCCGGTTCTGTGGTTACCTTGGTACCTGAGCTGTCCTTCCGTTGGTTGATTTCTTTTATGTTGTCTGGTTAATTTGGTGATCCTTTGATTGAAGGTATGGTAGGACGATCGGTTTGATTATCTGTTCACGTTATCGCCTCTGTTGTTGCGGTCGGGGCTCCTTTTCTTCATGTCTCTTCTGAGCGCATTTCGATGGAAGCCATTATTTCGATATACTCCGCATGGATGATATTACTTCTTCACAGTTTACCTGTAATGCATTATCTCTGCTCTCCTGACAGAGTTCGGATACACTGTTCCTTTCCTTCACTGGCTGGTTGCTGTCTTAGTTCAGTATCTGGTCCGTGTGTGTTTTCTTCTGGTTAACAAAAGTTTGAAGCTGTCCATTTCTGTTCATACTTACTAGTGCATCCAAGAATGATAGCTGGTCGTTCTTTTCAAGCTCAGTTGTGCGTGGGATATCCTTGTAGCACTACTTGGTTGAAGTGAATGAAGTCCATGTTTCAGTAGAGCTTGGTAGACGATCGGTAGTTCTTATTTGGGCAACGTTTCGCTTTTGACACAAGCTTCATCAGGCCAAGTGAGCAGGTCAACAAATTGACCAGACAGGGAATCAATCTGTAAGTCGTCTTCAGATTATCACACTGGATCAGTTTCGAGTGTCAATTAACGGTTCTTGTCGGTTAGTGTGGTTGTCGAAATCTTGTTTTGGTGGATTGGGAGAGTTTCAAATTAATTCTGATCGGGTTTGGTTCGTTAATCTTCCACTCCAGGGTGCTTCGATTGATGATTCACCTCAGGTGCCACTGGTAGATTTTCCTTGGTCTTTGTGGGGTTGTGAGTACTCCGACGATTTAGTTTGAGTGGGGTGAGGTCAAGTGGAATTCAGTTGATGACTACTCCTAATGACTGCACACCGAGACGTGTCGGCTCGACTGATCCAAAACCGTTCTTCACACGCTCGGTAGTTCCACGCCTTCGATTCTTTTAACACTGGGATGCGTGGCGGCTTCTACTGTCTCGGCTAACAGTCTCTGCGATGTGGACAGTAGTGCTCGCCTCAAAACCTCGACATTTTCTAAATCTATTTTGTGTCCCGTGTCCAATGCGTGTTCCGCAATAGCCGAGTCTTTCAGTAACGCTTGATATTCATTTGCGTTTCTCGGCGGCCTGTTTATTTTTCTACTACGTTCTCCGGTTCCAATTGATTGAATAAAGTCCAGTTTTCAGTAGGCATTAGGTTTGGAAGGGTTTCACGCAGTTAGTCTTCTCTGCAATTAGACGGAGTGTCCTTAAGTGATCTTTCTTTCCTTAAGTTCTCTGCTTTGCTGCGGCAGAACCATCATCTTTGTCCGTGTGGTTTATTCCCCAATTGACATATTTTCCATGACACTGTTATCTTGCAGCTGCTGAAGATAATTTGTACCTACGATGCTCACCCCCTGTACTCCAATGGTGGTCTCACAGCCGTACTACGTTTTGTCCGAACCAATGCCTCTTTGTTGCATACAGATGTGCTTCAGGCTGGAATGGAGCTGATTCGCTGTTTGGTGAGTAAGGCAGATCCGAAGGATCCTTCTTTACACAGTTGGATACAAATGCTCAGCTCTCTGCTGGATTTCAAGGAACCAGGTGTCGTCGATCAGACACTGAGAGCATTTGCCAACCTGGTATCTCGCTTCACTAGAATCGGAGCAGATCCGAGTCCTCTGGCAGATCCGCATATTGTAGATCGTTTGTTGCATCGTCTCTGTGTTGCTGGTGGTGTGGAGACTACGACACTTCAGACTGCTGATGCCATCACACTCACTACCGACTCTTCTAATGCAGGTGGGCAATAGATGCGTTCTCTACGACCTAATATATCTGTCTCAATGATTGTAGAATCATCTGCCCTGTTTAAAAAAATGTTTCGTTCAAAATTAATACTCCGATCATTTTAGAAACGTGATTGAAATTTTTTTTCGTGTGAAATGTTCAACGAAACAGGTTGCTTAACCAATAAAACGAATGTCGAGTGGATTTTGTCATTGAGAATTGCCTCCCGAAGTAATGCCAACTTTCCTGATGTTTCGGGGTATCTTTGGTCCGAGGTGGTTTCCAATGTGCTCATCACATTTCGCGTTCGACCTTTACAAACCTGTTTCTTAGGGCAGGCATTTGTACTCACAAATAGTTGTTTGGTATTTGGATTAGCTATCAACGACTGAGCAGAGCTCGGTCCAACAATCGCGATCTACCCTCCAGACACAAAAAATAACCCATTCCCTTCTTGCCAGAAGACTTTTGGTGTCTAACGTTTGAGCTTAAGGTACGGTCTTTTGGTTTTTCAACCTTCATGCGATTCCAAGAAAATCGAAGAAAAATCGAACTTAGCTATTTTACTACTACCATACGTTCTTCTACCTGCTTACTTTTGCTACCCAGGCAAAGATGGATGGTCATGGACCCAACTGTGAACAAAGTTCTTGCGTTCTTATTCGGCCTAACTTGTGGGAGCCGCTTGGTAATTTCGTTTACTTCACTTCGGCAAACGCCTCACCCCCAGTAGGCTGTTGAATGTGATCGTGGCCCCATCCCAACGTCCTTTTTGGACCTTATTGTCACTTTGTGGTCGTTAGCCGTCCTTGTAGCCCATCAATTTGATATTGTTACTTACGCCAATTTTCCTTTAACTTGTTTCCATCGTTTTTATCTCGTGGAACCCACTAACTTCTTATCTCAAGTGGTAGCCCTTCATCTTCCTAATTTTCTTTCTTTCTTACTTAATTTTAACAGGATTACCACTGGATTCAACTGGAACAGGTGATGCACGTGATAGCGTTTCTACTGCTGAAAGCAATCCAGCTGTGGTCCACGCGATAACCAATATTCTGGTTACTTTGTGCTGTGCGTCTAGCAACCTAACGCACAGCCTCCTAGCCAGCGATGGGCAGTTTGCTACCACATTGGCGATGCTACTTCAGCGCAGCGAAGACGAGTCCGTTGTGTTGAGCGTTTTACGTTTGGTCAACATACTATTGGTTCTGTTATATCAGAATCCAAATGAAACAGCCAAAAAGTCTCCACCTATGTCTGAAACATTGTGTGAAGTAACTCCAAAGGCGACATCTCTCACAACAGCTCTTCCTGAAACGCTGACCTCCAAGTTAGATGAGGTAGGCAGTGAAAAGGTTGAAAACGCTTCAGCGATTGGCGGTGAGCCGGAAGTAAATACAACTATTTCGACCAAGGTCGGTGAGACATCTGCGGCCACGTTACTGCTGCCAACCGATAGAGATGTCCTACATAGACCAATTATCGAAGCCATCAAACGTCAGGATTTGGGTGCGTTCATTATCCTCAGATGACTTTTTTGACTATCATTTTGGTTATTTCCGTGGAATTGGATCTTCAGATAAATCACGCGTTTGGAGTCGAGCGTACGTATATCTCGGCGCATTAATTCTGAACGGATATGCGGTCGATTTATTCCCAATTCTGACCTAGCTGCTCGTTTAGTGCCGAAGTGCTCGGGCTAGCCCTCATTTTATGACTGTGAATGCCGATGTTTGGATGTTTATCAACTGTTTTGTAATTTTCATTTTTTTGAAACAGTTCTACGTAACCGATGTCGGAGCCTTGTTCCAGTCTGGATAACTGAATTTGGTTGCTCAGTGGTTGCTGCTGGTGTGTTGTGCTCCTAAGGGTTTGTCCGGCTTCGTAATTATTGAATCTGAGTTTTGCTTTGTTGGGACATTATGGTTTTGGAGTTTTCGGGGGATCAGATTCACCTTCGCATACGCCTTGCTTGCTGTCATACTTTGGGGCCCCCGGAAAAAGTGCCACCTTTAAGACTTCCAATTTCCTTTACACGTGCCACCTTCTAAAAAGGGGAGACCAGCTTGCGCCTTGAAAACAAAGCGTATAAGCCAGTAAACCTGTCACATTATCAGTTTCCAGTTTGGGATCATAGAGAACACTACATTGGTATTTAGAGCTGCTGTTGGACAACTCAGTTGCATGTCAAGTTTTGTGTCTCCTGCAAGCTATTGCTCTCAGTGATGGTTACTTGAATCTTGATAAATACGGAATTGTCGTGCTCTGTTTCATGATATCTCCTAACTCTGTTCACCTCAGTCAATATTCCAACTATGTCACCATTTGACGAATCATACCGTGCGCACATCCAATTAGATTGTTACATATTATGGGCAACTACGTGGAAAAAGCTCACTGTGATTGGGTCTTACGGCTTCTGCAGTCATGAGGTAAAGACAATAATTGAATGTCTGTACAGTGTCGCACGAGCATCTATATGTTTGAAGACATCTCTCATATGATCGCAAGACCTTGCTGATGAGAAATATGGTTGAAGTTATTGGTAGGCTCACTGAATGTACGTGAGCAGACTTGTGAAGTGTGGCATTGGAACTGTCACTAACCCAGGAAGTGGGTTTCAGGCCTTATATGAGCAGACAAAAGTCCTTTTTATGTAGGCCATGTGGAAGACGACAGTAGAGCAGCACAAAATGACAGAACATATAAGGCACACAAACTTACCTGAAAAATTGTGAGGACAGCTCTGTTATAAAAAAGAATATCCTCGTCTTTGTGGAGGTTTCTCCAACTTATATTGGGGGAAAACTTTCGTATCTATTTAAGAGTCTGGAAGTACACACGCAGAGTTGAGAAGACGGACGCTCTGCATAGTCTTTCATACGGAGAGCAACAGCAGAATGACGTGACAACATGTTAGCTCGTTAAAGGGGAGGGGGTTAAATTGGTAGCTTTATTTTGGAGTAGGGGTGAAGCAGTGAAGCATCAGTGCCAACATTGATGTTGCTGTCATTGATGATGATGATGATGATGAGGGGTGAAGCAGATTTGATAAAGATATCCCGAAATGATCAACTTCAGATCAGAAGGAAGCCATCAACATACTTGGAAGGTTGAACCGGGTAAATGGTCCAAAAATCAATTGCATAACGCTCAAAGGGAAAGATAGATAAAAATGTTCCTTGAGGAACACCAGTTTTCCGTTGTATCTGGTTTGCTAGCTCAGTCATCGTTTTTTTACTGCGACTTATTTCTCATCCAAACTAGATTTCAGCGTTCGTGGTCACGTTAGCTCATTCATAAATGTGACCAGAGAAAGTAAGATTACCATTATCTCTTCACTCTGACCTGTTTCTGTGCATTGTTTATTCTGCAGCTTTTTGTTGTCACGTGAGAGTGATGAAGCCTATCCGTTACTCCAGTTCAACACGTACTTACCTAACTTGACCTTTTTTAGTAGGTGTGGAGAAAACAGCTACCATGAAATTTCTAGAAGAGATAAATAAGGAACTCAGCTTACTTTTAATTCGGCCATTTTGCTTCCGGAACTGCAACTGCTTGAACCAGCAAAACCCCGCCGGTTGATCAGTAGTCGATTTTTTCTAAACTTCAATAGAGTCACTAGCATTTTTGTCCCCTTAATTCCCGTATAGCTTAATGCAGTTTGGTTTTGTACGTATTGGCTTATACAACTGTTTATTACGCACGGAACTCGAAAGGCATAGTAATCAGCCGCCCTATTCAGCCACTGTTTTCTTCAATATCTTGGCTCCCACTCAACGTGATCAATCCCCTAATAAGGTAGTCAGAAACCATGTCATCATTTATACTATGTCGGAGGTTTTGAAATTTGTCTGAAGGTATGTAGGACAGACAGACAGACAGACATACAGTGTTTACAAGAATTACACTAACCTTTATTGTGTCTGATTGAACTACAACGCTCATGCACCCTTTTAACCAGGTAATCAGTTATACGATTTTTCGCATTATGACTGACTACCTTGCATTGCTAACCAAACACTCAAAGGCATAAATCTGTCCTTGTCTAGTGCTTTAGACATTTGGAATGCAGTTCGCGCTGTGAAAACTCGGGTTCTCTTCGGCACGTCGTGCTTGCGTCTGTCTGAGTTATTCGAGTTGGGGTTTTATCATGGACGAAATGACGGTTTCCTATCTACTTGTTTTGGAACTGTTCTGCTACACTGCTTTCACACGTCCATAAAACTGATTCAGGCTTCTTTGCCACGTCTATGTACTATAAATCTGGAGAGTTGTTGGTTCGCCTGGATCGATGTCTGCATCTTCTTCAGATTTAGGTTTTCACTGGACTATAACAGTGACTGGTCTTACCTGTGGTTTCAGTCTAACTGAGCAGTCGATTTCGATTTCCTGGCCGACAAAAACAACCACAATTTCATTTGTCGCAATCCTTCGCGATCATACCATACGGGCACCTTCTGCACCACAGGCCTACTATTCCCTACTGGCCCCCGGTCTCTCGATTACTCTCTCTGGATATCCTGGCAGTTTATGAGCTCTCATGCTTCTTGCTGTTTAAGTATACTGATTGCACGCATCAGCTGCACTGTTTTATTTCTTCATTGACGTTTCATGTCAGTGTCATCTTTCGTTTGACTGTTCGTATTGGGTTTCCATTTTCTCACGTGTTTTATCGCTCGCCTGATTTCAGAGTTTCTGCGGTCTAGCATAGCGGAAGGTACCATCGACGTCAACTACACTGACCACCTGGGACAGACTTTACTCAATTGGGCTGCTTCGTTCGGAACACCAGCAATGGTCGAACTTCTGTGCGATAACGGTGCGAATGTACGTCAGGGTGTTCGCAGCCCATTGGATTATGCAGCCACATTCGGCCGTGTCGATGTGTGCCGCACATTACTGGCTCGTGGTGCCGACCCGAATCAACGCGATGTGCGTGGCTTGCGTCCGATTGATCGTGCTCGAGATCACCTACCTCATCCAGGCTGTCAGCAAGTAATCGACCTTTTGGAACAGGAGAGCAAACGTAAGTTTGAGGCAGATCTTGCATTTATATCCGTTATGGTACTACTCCCCACACGCTTGGCAGGCACAATCACACTGAAGACACGACACTTTTTAAGCAACCGTCGTTTGATCTCGTTTCTCTATGTTCAGGTTTGCCTTCTTGTTTTGAGGGTATTTACAACTCGATATTTGGTGATCACCTTCGGAGTGTTTACTGGTCTTCTTGGATCTGCTTTTGGCTTTCGTATATCTTACCCGAATGTCCGAACTAGATGAATCATTGTAATGCACTGCTCATAAGGTTTCTGAAAATCCGTCGTCAGCCCACGACCGGTTTCGCCCTTTTGGGGCTCATCAGGTAGGCGCAGTCCCCGGGTTCCCGTCAACCTTATGTTCTACTTGAAACCAAATTGCACGGAATTAGCGAATATCTACTCATTTGCAAACTAATTTGGTTTTTCGAGAGACTCACCTGGAACCCAGCTGAATCTCTCGGTTTTGATGTTTCAAGTAGAACATAAGGTTGACGGAAGCTCGGAGACTGCGCCTAGCTGATGAGCTCCAAAAAGGGCGAAACCGGTCGTGGGCTGTCGACGGATTTTCAACAACCTTATGAGTAGTACATTACAAAGATATACGTGTATCGCGATATCTCGAATATCGTAGAGATCGAAACATGAGGCGGCCTGGTGCAGCACATTCGGTTGCCTGAGAACATCACAAACGAGAGATTCAACTGGGTTCCAGGTGAGTCTCGAAAAAACCAAATTAGTTTGCAAATGAGTGTATATTAGATGAATCATTATTTGGAAATATCACAGCACTCAGGTGTCAACCGTACTAAAATCCCTTTTTGGCACAATGCACGCATAGCTTTTGTAGGGGTCGTCGAATCTCCACGCAGCAGGTCCTCACTTTCATGTAATAGGACGGTAGATGTTGCCCTTCAAGGGGGAAACCACTCGCATCGATGGAACGTTTTGATATCCCTCAGAAGTTTTTCCCCATGGGGAAGTCAGTGCATACAACTTCCATTCACCAGCATCGTTGCTCGCTGCGACACTCAGCTCAGAGAATACAGTAGCGAAGGACTCACAGCTCAGAACTGTATTTTTAATAGCAGGCACGTTGTGTAAGACTTATATGATGAACAGATTTGGTCTAGCTGAATGCAATAGAGCGGTTGATATAGAGAAACGCATTTACCAGTAACCGTTTTTTTTTAAATATTCGACGAAGCTGCTTTTAACTTAGTTCGCTGCTTATGACCCTCGTTTGTTGAATCAACATTTGCTGGTGTCATGTCGAAATTTTCGAAGAAATTTTATGTCTAACCGATTGTTCTAAATGGAAAATTAGACTGTCTGCTCACCGTTGTTAGTGACTAGTATGTATGACATAGGAACTTTGCTTGATTTTGAATTCATTCACTTCGGCGTTTCAGGTTCATCCAATCGAATCACCTGCGTGGAATTACAATCATCACCTCCCACGCCTACTGTCGTTCCACCACGAATTCAAATTACCACCCCAAATGAGCAAGAAGTTAAGGGAGACCAAATTCCCGGTGTTTGGACCCACCATGACTTTGTCAACCGTTTACTTCCGGTCGTGGTTGATCTGTTCGATCACACCCCCTCACCGGTCGTAAAGTAAGCTACTTGTCGTCTGGTTGTTCGCTGATTGCCATTTTTCTTATGTTTACAAGTGTTATCCAATTCAATGCCTGCCTACAACCATAATAACTCTAAAGAGTGTTTTCAGGCCTCACAAGCGATTGGTAGCTGATCTTAACTGGCGCAAAGGGCACTTAACAAGGGATGCATGTGTTTTCCTCCCAACAACACGTAAAGGCGCTCATGTGATTACTCGTTCTTATTTAGCCTTATGATAGTGTCGGCTAAAGCTCAACGTGTGTCCGTCCATTCGCTGCTTGGCGAGTCTCTGTGTACCGTATGGAGGCGTGTACTGAAAGTCTCACAGTCTGGAGCACGCGTTAGATTGTTGTTATGGTGATCATTTTGTATGAATCGGTATGTAACTCGGAATTACAGCTGCTTCGTTTTCGGGTTTTACCAATGTATTCAGCGATTGATTAGATCGTTCAATTGTGACAACCTTTTGGTGCATATTTGTTGTCCAACACGATGAAAGTCTGAGAGGTGAAGTACGTCTTGGCCGTAATCCTCATGGGTTAGAGTTGGTTTGCTGGTCGCAATATCAACCAGCCGCCGAATTTGATGAGCTGTGCAAATCACTTTTTCATGACTGACTTTTGTACATTATTCTCCTGATCGCCACTAAAATAATTGCAAGGATAACTGTTGTAGTGCAGAGAGTTTACGAAGTGAAGATCTGTCCAGACGGTGTTTTAGCTTAAAAGTGATGCAATTCGATTGCTGTGGCTCGAACCAGGGCGTTCCGTCAAACTGGCTACTGTTGCGGACGTATGCGTTTGTTGGAGCGCAGTTGACAAGGCTGCCGTTAGGCACCCCATTTTTCTCCTTTTTGGTTTTTGTGCATCGAATTATACTGACCACTCGTTCGTAAATTGAAAGTAACCTGGTTTATAGCGAGGGATCACGATTCTAGTGGTACTGGTAGGGACGTGTAGTTTTATTTTGCGAGTCCATCCGTCTGGAAGATCATCAGTTCTGAGTGGTCTGCAGGCTTTTCGCCTCTCCGTGAACTTTTTCCTGTATTCCTGTTACTGACCAATTATTACGTGTCCCTGCTTAGCATTTCAGTCTCGGCGTGTTGTGTTTTGACTGAGAAACTGGGTATGGTGTTAAGCACGCGAATTTCGGAATGTCCATCGCCTAGGCTCATGTTGGAAATATTTGTGATTAGTAGCCTTTTTGAATACCAAAGGAATTGCCTTCGATTACATATATATATATATATATATATATATATATATATATATATATATAT